AGGTCATCCCCAAGCCAATGGGCAAGTTAAGGTTACCAACCGTTCTCTTCTGAAGATCATCAAAACTAAGTTGGAAGCCGCTAAGGGACTCTGGGCTGAGGAATTACCAAACGTACTATGGGCCTACCGCACTACCGCTCGAACCCCCACTAGGGAGACCCCCTTTCGCTTAACATACGGCGCTGAGGCGGTCATCCCAGTGGAAATCGGCCTGCCAACCCCGAGGGTTTTGCACCCGGATCCAAAACTAACCGATGCATTGCGACGGGCTGACTTACACCTGATCGAAGAGCTCCGTGAGACCACTGCCATCAGACGGGCCTTATATCAACAGAAAAATGAGAACACACTACAACCGCAGAGTCCGACCGAGGGAGTTCGCAGTGGGGGACCTAGTTTTGCGTGAGACAACTCTTGCCACCAAAAATCCTGCTGGAGGCAAGCTGGCAGCCAAGTGGGAAGGACCTTACGTTGTTAAGGCCAGACCTCGCCCAGGCACTTACCGACTCCAGGATATGGAAGGTCGAGACCTCCCCCACTCGTGGAACGCCGAACACTTGAAGCGTTATTTCCAATAAAGTGCCATGTCCTATTTTTGTGTTGATCAATTGCTGTATTTTTTTTTTGACAATTTACACACTTGATTGTTTCTATCCTTTTCGTACATAGTGTAAACTGGTAATCAATTGGCTACGCTTTAAATGACAATGATTTTACATCTCTATTATCTGCGTTGTGTTTCAATAACGACCTTTTAGACTGAGCACGAAGAGCTCAGCTCGACTGAGTTGACTAAAGCCTCAGCCAGACTGAGCACGAAGAACTCAGCCAGACTGAGTTGACTATAGCCTCAGCCAAATTGAGCACGAAGAGCTTAGCCCGATTGAGTTGACTAAAGCCTCAGCCAGACTGAGTTGATTAAAGCCTCAGCCAGATTGAGCACGAAGAACTCAACTAGACTGAGTTAACTAAAGCCTCAGCCAGACAGAGCACGAAGAACTCAGCCAGACTTAGTTGACTAAAGCCTCAGCCAGACTGAGCACGAAGAGCTCAGCCTGAGTTGACTAAAGCCTCAGTCAGACTGAGCACGAAGAACTCAGCCAGACTGAGTTGACTAAAGCCTCAGCCAGACTGAGCACGAAGAACTCAGCCAGATTGAGTTGACTAAAGCCTCAGCCAGACTGAGCACAAAGAGCTCAGCCAGACTGAGTTAATTAAAATCTCAGCCAGCCTGAGCCCGAGAAGCTCGGCCAGACTGAGTCAACTAAAACCTTAACCAGACTGAGTGTGCAGAGCTTAACCATACCGGGTTAATTTAAGCCTCAGCTTGGTCTCAGTTGCCGCCATACTCAGTTAAAATCCAGGTTCATGCCCATTCATTTTCACTACAAGTCAGTCCATTCATTTTTAAACTTTTTAAACATACACGTCATCCATTTTTACAATTTTTACATCACAACTTACTTACAAATTACACACTTCACATATAAGTTTCATTTTTACAAGTTTCATTTTCTGCTCAACCATTTTCATTATTCCAAGTTTACAACTCAGAAGCTTAAGGACAACAATAATGCAAAAGAAAACTCTTTGTTTTATTAACAACCTCACACTTGATTACAAAGACCATTCTTCTACAATTTGTTGCAGAAGTTACATATGAAAAAAAAAAAAAAAACCCACAGCATACAAAAACCAAGCTTTTACACTAAATTACAAAAGTCATTCTTCTTCACTGGAGACCAGATCTCCTTCTTCAATCCCCTCGTCTAAGGGGATCTGGGCAATGTCGTCTTCACGTATCTTCACACAGTTGAAGTCCACGTCTGGGAACAGCTCTTCCGTCTTATTCTTGAAGGTCATCCACCCGCTGTCCCAGAATTAAGCCATTTCATTCTTGTAGAAGTCCGACCGCTGGAAGCTCTGGATTACTTCCTCTTCACTCCTACTTCTAGCGGATGCTCCCGACGGCCTAACCCCCCCATTCCCCTCTCTCGCCAAGCTCTTGGTGACTACGGCATCTATGGCTATCTGAAATTCGGCGGACTCCTTGAATTGCTCCACTGCCGCCTTGCACAAGTTGGGGTACGCCGCTTTCTCAAACGCCAATTTGGCCCTTTCCTCCGCCAGAGCCTTCTCCAACTCAGCGATCCGCTGATCTGCTTCTTCCTTGTCCTTGATCGACTGAGCGTGCAGATCCTCATTATTGGACAAAGCCTCTTCCTATCTTTCATTGGCGATGGTGCAGGCTTGTCGGACCAACTCCAGCTCATTCTTTTCGCGTGCCAGTTCGAACTCTAGCGATATCACCTTACGGCGCTCCGCTTCCAGCTCTGATCTGGTTGAGAGGAGCTCCGCCCCAGCACGCTCTGCTGAATAGCCCTGCACCACCGCCAACACTTCCATCTTCTTCGCCCTTTGCACACTCTCCAACCCTTTTGCGCATAAACTCCAGGCGGCTTTCTTCCAGCCCGTTGTCTCCTCCGTTAGTTTCTAGAGCTGCCCCTTCACCCCTTCCAGCTGAACCCTCAGCGGCTCGACCTCCATCTTCGCCCGTGCTGCTTTATTCAAGAAGGCGGCCGCCAAGGTCGCGGCTTCCATTTGGGCCGAGCACAACCCTCTCAGGAGGTCGGTCTCTCCTAACCGTGCCATCGAGCATATGGTAGCGTCTTCCAGCACTCCAACTAGGCGGTCGGCTGCCACCCTGGCTTTCCCCCAATCGTTTGTCGAGCGACTTGCCTGCGCGTGCGCGTGGTACAGCGCGGTCGTCAGCGCGACGCTTGTCCCTAGAGTTCTAGTCCCAGCGACACTCGTCCTTGGAGTGCTGGACCCAGTCTTCCCTGCGCTTGGACTGGGGGTTACTTCTGGTGCAGGAACCTCCACCACCACTTGGATAGTTCCCAAGTGTTCTTCCAGCACCTGGGCACTTGGGCCCTTGTCTTCCTTCGCAGCTTGGACGGTCTCCTTTTCTGGAGCCTCCCTCATCTTCCCCTCCTCCGACTTCTCCTTTTCTGGAGCCCCCTCCGTCTGACTCTCCTTCAACTTCTTCAAAACTGCGGCATCCTTACTCCTCTCAGTGGCAGCTCTCTTTTTCTTTTTCTTCAGCACTGCCTCCATCTCTTGTTTGCCCCTCTCCTTCAGCGGGTCTACGGGTGGTGATAACGGGGCAAAGGCAGTCAGGTTTTTGTCCCCCAACAACTTGGGACGCGGTCGGACTTGCTCCTTCATCACCAGTTTTGGGGCAAGCCCCAGCTTTATCTCCTTATACTTGTCCGCTTTGGTGAACAATCTTCTGTCATCTGCCTCCTCCACTTTCCTCCGCGCCTCCAACTCCTCCACTGCAGGATCCTCTTCCATCGGCTGCGGTCCTAACCCTAAGGCATATAAAGCTGAAAGATGGACCAAGTCGTTCCATCTAACACCCTCATTCTCCCTCAACTCCTTCACCATTTTGACCCTACCTTCTGCCTCCGCTCCCAACTTCGACTCCGTCGACTTCGTAGGGACCTTCCATGTCATGCGCACTCCCTCCGCCCTATTTGCCGATGCGTAGAACCACCTCGGCCTCCACCCTTTCACAGACGAGGGAAGCCCGGCTACTAATCCCTTTCCCGCCACCGCCTGCAGGGTCACCCACGTCTCTTGCTAATCGGACGCTTTATAGCAAGAAAAGAACTCCTCCACTGTCATTGCCGCCCCATCTGTCGCCCGCGGCCATGTGATCGCGCAAGCCATTATGATTTTCCATGCGTTCGATATCAGTTGCCCCAGCGCCGCCTCCAATTGGTTCAGTATATCTACCACTACCTGGGGGATCGGCAACCTTAGGCCTCATCGCAGTGCTTCCTCGTACAACGAGAATTCTGCCAGCCGCAAATCCGACGCCCTTTCCTTAGAAGTAGGCACCCTCAACTCTATCTTAGCCGGAATTTGGTACTTCCTTCATACCTCCTCCAGCTCCTCCGCCGTAAATGTGGACCTGTCGACCTTGGTATGCTAGTGGTCCGGCTCCACTTAGCTAATTGGCCTAGTAGCGGCGATCATCACCGTCGGACGTGCCCGCACCACCTTCCTCGCTTCCCTCTCCTCCCTCCGCTCCGTTCAATACTGTTCCGCCAATTCCACCGCGCCATCCTCTCCCAACGAGTCAAGCCTTGCAGCTGGCACTTCGTCTTGCGCCATCTCTCTTATGTGTCTGCGTATAGATTCCGACGCTGGCACAAGGAAGTTCACAAAGTGTTGCAGAGGTGTATCACGCGGAACAAATGAGTTTACTTCTGGAACGTGTTGGTTTTTTGCAAAAAGATAGCTAAAGCGAATAACCCCAAACGCTCACGGTTTGCCTATATTCCAAGGGTCAAAATTAAATTTCGCCAGTTTGAAAAATTTCGGCCCCTGCCTTTTCACTGCCCTATATTACCCTGTCCCTTCACTTCTTACCAATGCGTCACTTCCCCCTACCCTTATTCCCTTCCCCTTCCCTGTCTATTCCACTTCACATCACCACGTGCCCCGCTGTTCCTCGAGCCTCGCGCACCGCCATTTTCGCTCCACTTGCTCACCCTTCGCAGTCGGCCCTCCTCATGGTCGGTCCCACCACTCGGCCACCCTTCGCGGTCAGCCTTCCTCATGGTCGGTCCCTCTACTCGGCCACCCCTTACGGTCGGCCCTCTTAACGGTCGGTTCCTTCATTCGACCACCTTTCACGGTCGGCCCTCCTCAACTCGATCCCTCCCCTCGGCCACCCTCACAACCTTTGTTCTCTTTCTTATTCCCTTCGTTGGACTGAAGTTGCACTTGGGAATGGGGGATTACTGACATGGGTAAGCCCATTAAAGATATGGTCCACCACTTAAGGCCCAATCCATGACTCCAATACTAAAGCTCAACATTCTTGGAACCCAACGCTACACCAAGCGGCAATGACATCTAGACACTTGGTAAGTGAAGAACCAGCCACATCAGCAGACAAAGATCCTGCAAAGTTATTGCACCACACATCAGCCATTAATGAGTTCCCCTGCAGCATTATTATAACAAAGTAATCCATAATTCAATTACAAGTTCAGTGCAAAACCAATAACACTGTCATTACCTCTAAACCTTCATCATAGTATATTGGTCGCTTGGCCCTCTGAAAGCCATATTCATCTTCATTTAGCAGTGATCTTCTGATCTAAAATATGAGAGAGAGAGAGAGAGAGAGAGAGAGAGAGAGACCAAATAAACTCTAAACTTAAAAGCATAAACCACAATTCCAAATGAAATGAAGCATAGACCTAAACACCACTGGTGTACAACAAAGACACCGCTTTCACATGCTAGTCCAGAAATTTTCCAAGAATATGTAACAATAATGAATAATTATCAGAAACATCAGTCATTTGGAAACTAGAAGACGCACACATTTTAAAATGGATTTTTGATGTACAAATTACAATAGTTAAAAATGAGTCATCAACAACATGATTTCAAAGGAAGTGTTACATATGAAAAGGCAATGATCACATAAAGAGATGCAAAGATAGAGGAACGATCCAAATTTACTTCATCTGATCTTCTTGACAGTGAAACCAAAGCCAACATACGTACTCCTCCGAGGTTGGGTCAATCTACGCACCCCTCCATGGTCAAACCAACTTTCTCTTCCATATGCTCCCCTCCGTGGTGGAGGGTGAAGCCAACTTGTGCTCCCCTCTAGGGTCAATCCAACTTACATCCCCTACAAAGTAGAGCCAATCTACACTCCCCTCTGTGGAGGGTGGAGCCAACTTACACTCCCCTCCGTAGTTAGGTCAGGCCAAACTTATGCTCCCCATCAGCATCAAGCCAACTTTTGCTTCCATACACTCCACTCCATGAAGGGTAGAACTAGCTTACATCGTTGAGCCAACTTTAGCTTCCATACTCCCTTTATGGTGGATGGTGGATGGTGGATGGTGGAGTCAGCCTACGCTCCCCTTTGGTTGCAAAAGGATGGAGATAATTATTTGGCTTACCTTTGAATGAGGTAGAGGCCATGTATATATATAACATATCCCATAGATTTTGTGAACATATCTGCCAACTGCTGAAAAGAAGAGACAAAGAATGGATGCACAATGCCAGTCCGAACCTTTTCTTGAATGAAATGTATGTCAACCTCGATATGCTTGGTATGCTCATGAAGCCCAAAATCAGAAGATAACATAATGGCAGATTTGTTATCACAAAACAAAGAGGAAGGAACAATCTCCTCAAAATCCAATTATGCCAGAATAGAGCGAAGCCAAAGAATCTCACATGTTCCATATGTCATAGCCCAATACTCAACCTTTGCAGAAGACTTAGAAATTACTGCCTGCTTCTTACTTTTCCATGAGATAAGATAATCACCATAGAAAGTACAGAAGCCAAAAGTGGAACGCCAATCAATCCTAGAACCTGCATAGTTAGCATCGGTGAAACAGGAGAGCCTAGATTAGAGACTAGCTGTAAAGAACAATCCTAAGCCAGGAAAAGTCTTCAAATATCTCAAAATATGATGAATTGTGTCAAGGTGCTCTTTACAAGGTGCATGCATGAACTGATTCACAACACTAACCGCAAATGTCAAAGCAGGTCTAGTGTTGGTCAAATAAATGAGACGTCCAATAAGACGCTGATACATGCTTGGGTCATCCAGCAACTCACCAGACTCTAATGTGAGCTTGACATTAGGATCTATAGAAGTAGAAGCATGTTTACACCCTAACATACCAGTATCCTTAAGCAAGTCAAGGGGGTACTTTCTCCGAGACAAGGAGATTCCCTCCCTTGAGTGAGCCACTTCAATTCCTAGAAAATATTTTGAAGCATCCCATATCCTTAATACTCCCTCTGTTCCAAAATAATAGTCTCTTTTAGGGAATCTAACTTTTTTTGATAGTACAATTATTACATTTTAAAATTTTAATTTTTCAAAATTACCCTTTGATAGTATATTTTTTGGGGAATATCAATTGTCATAATTGTATTTTTTGTGTTATTAATGAATTTAAAAGAAGGCCAAAATAGTAAATTCATATTATTTTATCCCTTAATTTTTGAAAAGGGACTAATATTTTAGGACAATGAAAAATGGAATAAGGGACTAATATTTTGGGACGGAGGGAATATCAAAAGTTTTGCCCAAGTCCTTCTTTACTTGACCAATGCTGACAGAGTCATCACATGTGAGAATAATATCATCTGCATACACTAACAAGACTATACATTGTCCCGCATAATTCCGGCAAATGAAACAAGTGTGATATGAGTAGCACTGAACAAAGTCCATAGATATAATAACAGAACTGAAGTGACCAAACCATACTCGTGGAGACTGCTTCAGACCATACAAGAATTTGCGTAACTGACACACTTTCCCCAAATACTCCCCATTAGATTGAAAACCAGGTAAAGGAGCCATGTAAATCATCTCAAGAAGATCCCCATGGAGAAATGCATTCTTGACATTAAGCTGATGAAGAGGCCAAGAATGGGATGCTACAAGGGAGATGAGGAGACGCACAGAAGTAAGCTTGGCGACAGGGGCAAAAGTGGCACCAAAATCCTTGCCAAGAATCTGTATGAAACCTTTGGCCACTAGGTGGGCTTTGTAAGAGGTGGAAACCCTGTCATAGGAAATATACTGGGAAATAGGATGATTAGTACTACTCAAATAACTCAAATGATTTGGAGGATGTTAATCCTGAGGTGGGTTACGATGAAGAGGTGGAAGAGGAGCTAAAAAAGAAAAGTTACCTGACCCAAAGATTGAAGAGGCGATAGGGAGGGTTGAGTGCGTGGGCAACTTGCAATGGGGGAAGGGACGAAGGTTGAGAAGGAGGGAGGGGGACAACCTCAGTCTCAACCTCGTCCAAAATGGTCATTAGATGAACAATGGAAGTAACGAGAGGACAAGCTTGCAAAGGAGGGTTAGTACAAAAAAAAAAGGAAGATCCTCGCAAAAAATAACATCCAAAGTGTGGTGAAAGTGCCGAGACATAGGGTCATAACACCTATACCCTTTGGACATGGAAGAGTACCCTAAGAAGACACAACGGATAGATTTGTCATCTAACTTTGTGCGAGTGGGACTCCGATTTTGAACAAAATAGGTACACCCAACGACCCGAAGGGTAAGAGTGGAAATAGAGTGGCAGTGGGCATAAGGGTATGAAACGGAGTAAGACCATGCAACACACGACTAGGAGTCTTATTAATGAGGTAAACAACAGTAAGGACAACCATATGCCAATAAGACTTAGGAACACCCATACACCAAAGGAGACACTGGACAATAGACATAATATGACAATTTTTGCATTCAGCAACACCATTTTGTTCAGGAGTCCAAGAACAAGCAAGTTGTTGAAGAATACTAGTTTCATTAAGATGAGAACAAAATGCATTAGAAATATATTCCCTACTGTTATCAAAACGGATAGTCCTAACAACTGTATGAAACTAAGTTTTAATCATTTGTAAAAACTAGACAAAAATGGGAAAAACGTCAGACTTACGGGTATGCTTAGACCCAAATGCACCTAGTGTGATCATCAATAAAAGTCACATAATATCTATGACCACAAAAAGCGGTGACAGGGGAAGGACCTCAGACATCAAAATGTATAAGATCAAAAGCACTAAGAGCATGAGTCATATGAGAGATATATCTAGTACGGGTATGCTTAGAAAACTCACAAACCACACTATGAAACTTAGAATCTTTGCAAGGTTTATTAAATAAAGGGAACAGTTGACATAAATACTAAAATGACTCACACGAGCGTACCATAATTCTAAAATTTGAATATTAAAAACACAAGACATGGAAGCAAGCAAAACAGAGGCCTGAAAACTAGCTGAAGAAGAAAAGAAAGGCTCATTTGGTGGATCCCCAAAGTAGTACAACCCATCATGCTCATAGCCCTTGTAAAAAATCCTCCTTGAACTCAAGTCCTGTAAAAGGCAAAAAGAGGGTAAGAAAATGACAGCATAATTAAATTGTTTGGCAAGACGACTAATGGATAAGAGATTACATGCAAAATTTGGAACATGTAAAACAGATGATAAAGTAATAGTAGGGGATAAACACACTATACCCTTATGACAAACCGAGAATAAAGAACCATCAGCAAGACACACAGATTGGACAATAGTAGTGGGAGCTAGCGAAGAAAGAAAGGAAAACTCACCCGTCATATGATCATTAACCCCAGAATCCAAAACCCATGAGGGACTAGCAGACCGAGCATAGAAAGCAGTAAAAGTACCTGTTACAAGGGTGGCAACGTAGGAAGATAATAAGCCACGAGAACTGGCAGTAAGAGATCTAAGCTGAGACTGAAGTAGACCAATCTGAGTCTATAACTCCTGTAAATTAGGGAGATGAGGAAACCCAAGAGCCGTAGTCCAAGGGGTGCTAGCACCACGACAGCAAGAAGAACGTGGCTTCAACTCAGGATGAAGTTTGAAGCAATGAGCCTTAACATGACTAGAAGCTCCACAATGATGACAAGTAACTGGACCAGTAGAACCCTGAGAGCTTTACTTTGCAGCAAGAGTTATTTGATCAGATGAAACTGGAGACAGAGGAGAAGGATTCGGCTGAACCAAACGCCTACGACGCTCATCACTATCAATGGTGGCAAAGGCCTCATAGAGAGAGGGCATGGGTGATGTGCTTAAAATCTGAATTCGAAGGGATTAAACCCAACAAAAACTGGTAAGTGTGCTAGTAAGCAAGGCGTTTGGACACAAGAGAGGCAACATCTGCTAGTAACTTAGTCAAGGGCTTATATTGAGCAAATTCTTTCCAACGGTCTTGAAGGTATCCAAAGAACTCTGACACAGAAAGACCCAAGGCAGACTAGAAAGCACGAGCAATATTTTGATAGAGCTCAAAGATGCGAGTATCGTTATGAGCATGAGCATACATCTGTGACAAAGCATGCCATAGATAGGGAACAATGTCACACTAGAGAAACATGTGATAAATACAGTCTTTCATGGAGTTGAACATCCATCCCAAAAAAGTATAGTTATCAATATCCCATTGTGCACGGGCAGGATCTATTGTAGCAAGCTGGGTAGTGGAACACACATTCCAAGGCATTACTTTGTTTACTAACTTGCATCTCATCTCTATGATTTTTACTTTTGAAACTTAATTAGTATCATTCCTTCCAACAAAAGGGATCCAACTTGGCAGCGCCATCACTAAAAATCAGTCCAAAAAAAAACTCTACCAATAACCCTCTTCCACCTCTAGCTCTTTAAGCCAGAGCTATAACAAGCTAAACACAAGTAACACAGATGCAATGCTAAACGTGACGTTGCATGTAATAGATCACACTATGTTCTTCAATTGCATAAATTTTTTATGCATAGTTGATCTCTTGAAACCACACATTTGTATTAATTTGTTTCTCTTAGTTTTGGGAGATCTCATAGAGACACGATAGTATGGAAGAAATCCACAATTCTTGAACCGTATAATGTATTTTAGTTTACATAGTATTTAAGCTTGCGTGCGTGCAGCTTTCCTTTTTTTCTGGTTCTACTCTTTTTCTTTATTTTTTTTTAGTTTGCATATTCAATAGACTGTTGTCATATATGATTTACATATTTTTCCTGTTAAGAATAGAAATTTGACATCTTGCATTCTTCTTTGGGGTCATAGATATTTGATACTGGATCACTTGAAGGCCCCTTCGGATCATTTCAAGTTTGTAATGTACAAATTTATGGAGGCTTTGTTGTTCATATCGGTTCGTTTACTGGGGAAACAAGCAAGTTCTCTGTAGCTGATAAAGTGATTTGTAAGGTAACTTCCCTTTTATCATCTGTCCTTGTATGTGTACATGAGTGCAAGCTACATCTGCTTTGTATTTCTTCGTAACTATAAGAAGTAATTGACTTGAGCAGGTTGACTATGATAGACGTAAGCTCATTGCTCCTAACCATACCTGTACGCACATGTTGAATTTTGCGCTCAGGGTAATTTCCAAAATGATACTGTTCTGAGCTTCTAATGTTGATGCTTTCTTATCTGGTTTGCTTTTGTTCTCTTAATGTTCTGTAACATGACTGCAGGAAGTACTTGGAAATCATGTTGACCAGAAGGGATCCATTGTTCTTCCTGAGAAATTACGATTTGATTTCTCTCATGGTAAGCTTTATGCTTGTTTCAATTAATTTTGCATATAAAATCATTTTTGAATGCTACTGAAACTTGAACAGGCAAGCCTGTGAAACCTGACGAGTTGAGAAAAATTGAGTCCATTGTGAATGAGCAAATCAAAGCTGAGCTCGATGTATTTTCAAAGGAGGCCACTCTGATTGATGCGAAGCATATAAATGGTTTATGAGCTGTATTTGGAGAAGTAAGCTACTTCATTTTTCTATCATTGGAGTTTGTTCAGGCATATGATCAATCTGTGGAATGTACTTGGTTTACTGGCCGCCTTCAATTTCTTATTTCTGTTTTTGATATAGGTCTATCCTGATCCTGTTAGGGTTGTATCAATTGGCTGAAAAGTGGAGGACCTCCTTGCTGATCCAGAAAATGACGAGTGGTTATCAATTTCCGCTGAGTTGTGTGGAGGTAGCATCTCCTTGTAATTCCTGGTGCCACTTCTTGGAGTCTTATTAAATATTGAGGTTTAGTGTGTTGATTTTTTTAGGGACCCATTTATCAAATACACGAGTGGCTAAGGTGTTTGCTCTGTT